TTATTTGGTACATGCATATATTCCAATTTAAAAAAAAAAAATAGAAAGCAATCATTTATTCTATTTGAAAAAGGAATCCGTTAAATGTCAAATTCTTTTCCATTTTATCAAATGTCAAATAAATTTTCTAAAATATTTCAATTGTTTTCCCTTGTTTTAATCGAAATAAAATTAGGGTTTGAAAGTTTTGTTAGTACAACGCCACCCAGATATATTTGGTTGTCTCTATCCTCATTTTCCCTCACTTGGAGAAAATCTCACATCTTTTTTCCTTCTCTCGCTTAGTGTCCAAATCAAAATCATCTATTCTCCAAATGTCTCTCCCACCAGTTCTTTTCACTTCATCATTGATCCCAGCCACTGATGCATCACCATCTTCAAAAGCAAGAGGCAAACAGATCCGGGTTGAAAAAATTGACCAGATAAGCAAATTCCATGACGATGTGTTGCTCAAGATCCTCTCAAATCTGTGCACAGAAGACGCGATCAAGACAAGTGTGTTGTCTCAGCGATGGAAGAACGTTTGGAAGCGAGTGCCTTGTCTCATCTTTGATATGAAAAAAGCTCCCTTTTTCAGGAAACGTGCTCAACATGAGCTTACTGCTGAAGTGATAACCAAGGTTCTCTCTTTCAATATTTTAATTCTATGTTCTCAGTTAATTATATTCGTGTGAATCAAATAACGGTATTTCTCGCGCGAATTTAATAAAACCATATTTTAAAAAGTTTATGTTCAAAAGATTTGAATGTGAGTATAGATTGTGAATGTATTAATATTATAGTTAATGAGAATCTAGTCAAAACATAGTCTCTTTAACATATAGACAGATATATATTTCAATCTATTGAATTTAAGAATTGATAAATTCTATCAATTGTTTACTAAAAATTCAAGATATGAAAGAAAAAAGAATTGACTTGTATTGAAAAATTATATCGTAAATGTGTATATTTGTTTTTTAAAATCGTTAATATTGTATTTCTTTTGAAGGTTATACAAGATCACAATGGCTATCTCGAGTGTTGCAAAATTCAGCATTTCCTAGACCAGTGTGAAGACGGTACCCTCGAAACTTGGATCCAATCACTAACACAAGTGAAACACACAAAACGTCTCGCACTTATAAACATTCATCGTGGTAACCGTATGAGAGGCACACCCAGTGTGCTCCAACTGTCCCCAAACATATTCTCCCATCCATCTCTCATATGCCTCTTCTTATTTGGATACTATTTAGAATCTGCACATGCCTTCAACAATTGTCATAATCTCACGACTCTTAAACTTGATAAAATTTGCGTTGAGGTTGGTGTGTTCAACACAGTCATTTCATCATGTCCTTCCCTCAAGGTGTTGCTACTAGACATCACATGGTACAGCCAAAAAGGTTCTTTAAGGATTCATCACAAAAATCTAAAGCTATTGGGTCTCACTTGCACTCACATTGATGGCGTTGATGTGTCCACACCTCTTTTGGATATCTTGGCCATTCAGTGTAATTCTGTTACCAAAAGTAACTTTCTTCTCGGAGCCCCTAGGTTACTTGGGTTTAAGAAATCCTATTCGCTTCTAGTAGAAAGTGCTAGACCTCACATCTACTACAATGTTTCATCTGATGCTCAGGTATGAACACACACAATTGCATATATATAAATGGATTAATATATAATGTTTGACATGTTTTATTTTCTTATTGGAATTGAAGGAGATCAAAAACGTTTTGCATGAACTCGTGGTGAGCGGAAATACTTCCTTTAGGACATTTGAGTTTAAAACTTTGGCCGTGAATGTGGATTTGATGAATCCTCAAGAAGTTTATATGCTAAAAGAAGTTTGTGATGTGTGGAGTACAAAAATGCAAAACCTGGAGATCTTCTTTAAGGTACATCCAGTTAACGCTTTGATCAATTTTCTCTTTTATCACTTTTCTTTATAAGTATCTTTAAATCATGATGCATGTTTATATGTGTGTTCTTGTATATATATAGCATAACAACATTCAAAAAGAAAAAGGTGAATCTTCTGTTGGCCGATCACAAGAAAAGAAGTCAAAAGAGAGGAATTTCTTTATCATCAGTGCTGGTTTTGGCGTGAGAACTGTGTGGATGTATAACTTGAGTGATTTCAATAAGGAAGAATTTGCCTTAGCTTCTCTTTTGGTGACACAAAGAACGGTCACATGTAAGTTAATGATCGAGACGTCGTCGATTCCTGCAAACAAGAAGTTGAAGATAGAAGCGGAAGTGGCCAAATTAATGGAACTTCCAAAAGGTAACAAAGAGCTTATTATCAAATGCTTTTGATGATGTTGGTTCAAACTTAGCCGTTGGTCACATGAACTAAAAGTACACTTCTATTTGTTTTGGTGTTTTTAATGTTTTAATATTTGGGATTTGGTTTGTATTAATTTAAATGTTATGATTTGCTCCATTGAGTTACTGTCGTGGTCATTATTTTCTTAAAACTTTTGTCGTTGCGTCGAAAATCTATTTGCATAAACGGTTTTTGGTTAATGGTTATAATAATATAAGTATGAAGACATTTTGAAACCATTATGGAAAATATATTACTAGAATGATTAGGGTTTCCATTAACAATTGGTGGCAATTGTTTACCGTTTTAGTATATTTATAGTAAATATGATTTGTCAATTTTTAGATTTTACCGTTTTTACCAAATTGTGTAACCTAAACCTCGTTTGGTACGAAGATTTATTCTTTAAATCGGAATATATAAAGGCTGACTCTAGGTATCGAAAAAATTATGACCAAAGATTCGGAATTTCTACGATTTATAAAAAAAACCCTATATGAATCAAAATCTCATTCTTTATAAGGATAACATAAAGGTGAAGTTTCTCTCTTCCATTGATTTTTCCCGCCTTTTCTATGAATTCAAACCAGTGTTCTAAAACGCGGTCTAGACATTCGCTTAGGGCTAGACCGTGGAAATTACCGCCTATGCCGCCTAAAATATTAAGGTTTTATAATCATAAAATAATATAAATTTTCTTGC